ACCGGAGGCCCAATCCTTCCCCTTCCCCAATCCCTCCTCAATCCCTAAATCTCCAAATCCCTAATCCCTAAAAGGTCGGCAACGCACTCGTAACTCCTCCGTTGCGAGTGTCCATGGGCGGCGCTGATTGCTTACCATCAGGTAATCCGTCGGATCGTTTGCCGACCTATTACATAAAAAAAAAAAAATATACGATCCGCATTTGTTTAGAACTTACCTATACTAATTTAGCGGTATGCCCTGCCTGGGCTGAGCACCGCCGTATCCTCAGGGAAGTGATCGGCGGCGGCGACCTCTCGCGCCCGGCCTTAGTCGAGGCCATGGTGCAGAGTGAGAGGAACTGGGACGCCGTCTCCTCCTTTTGTGAAGCAGTCATGCTCGCAAAGAGAGAGGCGGCCCGCGTGAGGGAGCAATCCTCCTCCTCACGCCCCAGCAGCCGCAACTGGCGACACTGCGGGCGTCGGGGATCGAGGGACGATCTCCGGCCACCGTAAGCACGGGCCTGCGGTCGGCGAGTAAGGGCAGCTCGCCGCCCGACCAGAACCAGGCCCGAGCGTACGGCGCGTAGCGTTCCGCGCGCGCCTCAAAGAGCCATTCGACCACCACAGACGGGGCCCTAAAGGGCTGATGTTCAGCCGGGGTTGCGGGGTAAGCGCAATGAGGTACCGCGACCTCGGCACAGAGCAGGAGAAGGAACAGGGGGGTTTTTAGTCAGTAAGAGTCTGACACTCCCTCCTGCCCGGCCCTGGGCGGGAGAAGTCATTTGATGATTTTCCCCTCACAAAAAAAAAAAAAAAACCTATACTAATTTATTGTGAACGCTTCATTACACGACAAAATCTATAATTTTTATTGTACCCTTATTTTTATATTACGAGTATGATACATATTATTATGTAAGTATGTGTAAATGGTTCTAGATCATTTTTTGTGTAAACCCTTAGAGAATTTGGTAAACTGGAAGAGCCGTGCTTGCACGAATAAGTCGGCTGACCGGAATGATATCACTGCCTTACAGAAAACCGGCGTCAAAGTCAAACAACCACAGCGTTATGTTCCACTGTGAGAGTGAGGTTACCGAAGGCTCAATCCTTCCCCGCCCTTAATCCCTCCCCAAAAGGTTGGCAGCGCACTCATAACTCCTCTGTTTTTGCCTCTCTTCCTAACATTTAGCGTTTGCCGATCTATCAAATAAAAAAATACTATGAAGTTTTCGTACAAGAAGCGTAAGAAAACGGCGAATAAATATAACCATATCATAATATAAAATAGCCCATCGAAAAAATCAGATTAGGAACACTGTAAAGGAGCGTATTATCTACATAATTACAATCGGAACGGCCTGTATAGTTCCCGGCACGGTTCGTAAATCGCGAGACAATTAACAACATTGTTGTCGGCTTGCTTCAATTGCCTTGTAATCAACTATCAGAATAATGGCTCTAATATGACGTAGAGGAATGCGAACATGATATATCTGCTTTATTAATACATAATTAATTGGGATAACTATCTTAGAGCTAGGTGAAATGGCTAGTTCGATCATAGAGCTTGATAGGTGAACGATTATAATAGACTAGCTTTTGCCCGCGTGGAATAGTAACTTCCTGCAGATTTTTGGTAAAATACCTATGTTCTTTCTCGAGTTCCAAATTATGTGTGTACCAAATTTTAGAAATCGGTTCAGTAGTTTAGACGTGAAGAAAATACAGACAGAGTTACTTTCGCATTTATTAGTTTGGATTAGCTATATAAATAGAATATGTGTAAGTATTATGTACCTACATCTCTTTTTGTTTTAATGATAAACTTTGTTTATCCTGATCAGGATAAACAAAGTTTTGCATTAATCAAAATGAGACTTGAGCGTCATACAGTTTGTAAGATAGAAACTTATAATTTTAAAGGCTGTAGGATTCGGTTTTGCCAAAATAATTGGCAGGAACAATTGTTATCTGCCATTAGACAATGTTCTGGATGAACTTTCTGACATCAAAGTTTTCGCATACCCAGTGCTAAAGGTTTTTTTCAATGGTCACCTTCTCAGACCTTGGTAAGCAATGATGGAACCTACGATGGAGCATTTGAATATTCGTTTGGGTCTTAAAGGTTTGTTTGACCACAGCGACTGTATAGTTTTGTAGTTTTTGTAGTTATATGAACAGACTTTCATTGACATGTTTGCAGTAACTGAGTGACATGTGCGTAATTATGTTTTCGGGATTTTAATTAATAATGAAACTTAATATTGAACCCCCTGAATCAAAATAAAGCATGCACAAGATGAGTTAGTCTGTATTCACAACTCCAGTTCACATTCGTTCTTAACAGCCTTGTAATAAAGTTGATTTTAACAACCCCCATAAAACTCAGCTAAAGCGAATGGTAAACAGTTCTTCGGTGTTGGACGACAACGACCTTTATAACAGAACCGTGCCTTGTTTCCGTGCTCACCCACTCAAACGCAATAAAGTTATTAATATTCTCATTTTTAATTACAACAAAAACATGTCTGTACTAAAGAAACACGAATAATCGACACTAATGCGTTAATATGCATGTTTATTGTTATAACTGTTAGAACAGGTTTTTACTGCTTCTAACTCATAACTTCACATTGTTTCTCAACACAATTTTATTGTGAAAAACTTGTTAAAATTCCACCGATAAATTGAAGACAAAATTAGGTATATATATCTTTCATATCTTGCAAATACAATATGCTGACTGTTTTCGGGCAGTCTGACGTTCAAATGACTTAATTGGCTAATGGCTAATTTAAAAGTATCAACAAAAAATACTATCAAGTCTTTTAGGTTTAGTGGCCAAAAGTTTCAATTGAACTTAACAAAAATATGGGACGTCTATAAGTACTTATATTTGCGCCTTTTACAGTCTTCTCACAAGAAAATCTCTATCTGAGTATTGTACTAACCATTCCTGACGATTCGATTGCCTCGTTAATCTGAAAATAAAAATATTTCTGAATCTGTAGCTGCGCCAATTGATGGCAACAGATATAAGTGTTTATGAGCAACACGCATTTGTTGCGGCGTCGCCTGCAACGGTGTGAGGCGTGGTCGCGAGATGTTATCACACCCATTAGCGGCCGTCGCGCCCAGCCACTATCTGCTTCATCGCCACAACTTGCACCACTATCAAACATCATAATTCACACACACAACACACGAATCCTAACCAAAACACTTCTGTATAAAGGTTAGTTTCCCATAACACTTCGAACATCGTAAAGGACCTTGCTCAGACAACGACAAATGAGGCTCATCTTTCTCTATTTTGTAACAATGTTCGATGTGATTTTTTCCGCGTTAGGTTTTCGTTAGCATCGATGCGTATCACATTCGTAATTTGCGTGATTCGGCCGTTTTCGACGATGATAGGTCGGAGGCCTTCAAGCCTTCGTCAAACGTCATTATGTTGAGCGGGGCCATCGAGTTATTCGGGGAATGTCTCACCCACGCCACAGACTGGATGGGGCCTAATGCGTTTAGTATTGAATACAGTCTGATATCGATCTTGTTCGTAGAATTTGACGGCACTGCCGAAGGAAAGTTTAAGCCATCAGTATAATAAGTTGAAGAGCTTGTCAGTGATGTGTTATGGAATCATGTTTAAGTTAATATGATTTTTTATAGCATCTCAAAGGTATAAAGGGAGCATTTAGATGGTTTATAAGAAAAAGCTACTTCCTAACAGATTTTTCAGTTTTAATGATTTAAAAAATATATATTTGCCAGGCACTAGCAACGCGGCAAGCTTGGCGAGATTATCTTTTATGCAGAAATTTTAACAAGAATTTCACACAAATATCTTTTATCTATACCAACATAGTAAAGTAAGACAGTCTCAAACAGACTGAAGGTGCAAAAATGTTCACGTTTTTACTACAAATAGCAGAGTAGATATTATGTAGATTATACAGTGTTGCTATATATTTTCATAATGAGCAGTCGTTATATGTAGGCGAGCAAGCGTGATAATTGTCTGCTGATCATCGTCTGAAACATCTGCTACTCGATTCCACTCATCGCCCAGCTAACATGCACCGTTTCAATTTTTTTAATTACTTTATAATTCAGTGCGGAAACCGCAAGAAAATTATTCGCAATTATCTGTATAATCGAAATTTAAACACGGTCTCATGTTTATTTCATTGAGCATTTATTAGAATGTAAATCATAATGTTTATCCTAGAAATTATGTATATGTTCACTAAGTCAGTAGCTGGCTAAGTTATGTAAATGAAAAGAGTTCGTAATCAATCTTCAATATCAGTTTTGCTCTTAATTTTGCTGCATAAAACCGTAGCCTAATTTATAGATTAATTCTAAGTCAGATAGGTTTTTTAAAAACAATCGTCATTTATTTTGTAGAAAGAGAAATAGATAAGTAACTGACACAATAACAAAAATAATACCAACATACACATCATTAGAAGTGATATAATTTTTTTAGGACAGTCAGGGAGATCATTTGGTGATTTTCGTCGACAAAAAATACCTAAATACATATAATATTCATAGAAAAATTACGTCGTTGCTAAGATTGACAACAATATTTATTTCTACAAATAAGCCAAATTCCTTTTTTCGTTTTGCTGGCTACTGACAGTTTATAATTTTCCGATAAAATAGTTGCAGATTGCTGAAAGTAAATTCTAGGGCCACGACTACAACCAGCCAGCCGTGACCGGAGATCGAAAGTGAATCGATTCGGGTCAGGAACGGATTATAGTCAATCCTCGTTTACCTTTAATATTTATCTGAATCACCTAGTTTACGAACACCTGAGAGAGGCCTACGATGCTTTCGAAATAGGTCTCGACAGGACTTAGGCTAGGTATCATAGGACCTAGTGTTATAAGCAGCAACGATGCAAGTGAAGCACTGAATTATGAAACGTTAGTTAAATTATAAACAAAAGTACTACAAAGTTAATAAACACGCAGGGAATGTAAGAAATCGACATAATTTATGATGCTATTGCACTTCCTTCCTACGTAGCGATATCATTGAACAAAGATCGATATCACCAATACCGGCTACGTCAAATAGCAACAATTTATGATTCGCGTAGCATACTCGAGCTGCGCGGGCGTCGTGACCGGCCGCAAGCGCAGCCAGTCCGAGGGGAAGGGGGGTGTTGTCGGCGAGAACAAAGACCGCCAGTTCAAACGTGCCGCCGCGATGCCCGCTAATAAGCAATAAACAAGGGGGCGGAGTCGCGGGGCGCACCTGAGGGATCACCTCGCCGCGCGATGCTGCGTCCTCGCGACCTCGGCCTGCGCCGGCGCACACGCCCGATACAGATTTGATAAAACTTGTTCTGTTTTTCATATCTGAATATTTTCCTATCTGATTCAGGTAAACTTATGTTTGTGTCTGTAACGGTAAGTTTTACTTCCCATAGTTTTTTAAATTGATTCTTAGCCACCTACTAGTGAGTACCCTGTATTTTATTACCCATTATAATGTTTAGAATCGTGTGCCTAGTTTTTAGGAGCAGTCTTTATCGGAGCATCGACGCTCACATTTCAGGGCAATTAATAGGCAATAAAATGGCACAAATTGCGATACACATTGTAGAGCTGCTCGCTATTACGGAGAATAGTAAAACTCTCACGCTTTGTACAGCCAACAAAATACGTTAGAAAGGTACTACACAGCACACTGCACTTACAATCTAGATGTAAATGTGATGGAGCCGATCTTAGATTTAAACCTCCTAAATGCTCTTAAATCCTCTACAGAATATTCTATTTTCAATCATGACAATTTGTTTGATTCTTTGACAGAGAGTAAGAAGAGATATAATATAACAATTCAATTACTGACTAAGTGTCAGAAATCCATTTAAAAAGGCATCAATCTGGCTAGATGACTACATGAAATGAGTACAAAAGTAAGTAAATAGGAAGTCTAATTAATAACGCATAATAAACACGAGTCAATCGCCTTTTTGAACTGTCACTGGAAAAAATTAAAATCGAAAATTTTCAACAATCTTATTTAAATCAATTAAGCCTTCCACCACAATATCCCCATTGCAAATCAATGAAACTGAATTTGGGCCCTACTTTATCTGACTGTACTCGATATTATTTAGTAGAATTCATTGCGTGTGTCTTATTGTACAAATCTGCAGTTTTTGGGTAATAAAGTTGGCTCGATTCATAAATAACTCTTCAACACTGAAAGGCTTTTAGTGCGACGTTAATATTTATTGATAGTTTTTGTACGCGGTTGTACTTTCATCGAGCGAATTTCATTTTCACCGACATCAAATAAAGTTTTTATATGAACAATTTACCAAAGCGGCGGCCATCAAAGATTGCCTTTTTAAAATGCTAATACTTAAGTGGGTAACATAATAAAGACTTAAGAAAGAAGACTTCACTTGAAGTTAAATGAAATTATAAGGAACGAGCGTATTTCCTCGCACGCACAATTCCAGGATCCGAAGGTCAATTGATCGGTACACCCAATAATTTTAGGTAGATATCTATACTTTGATGGGACTTTATGTGGAAATACTGCCCATTGGCATTGGATACATAGAAACAGGCTTACGTTAACTTTAAATGGGATTCGGGAAATAGCATAGGTATACTTACTAAGGCAAGAAAACTATAGCTCTTAATACGATTATTTTTGCACACCAACCCTCAATTCTGCGAAAGATATATGTAGCTACTAGTTATCAAGTCACAGACATTCATACAATAAAATGAAGAGAGCTATCGTACAAGTCGGTGGGGTATTAACCCTCAACGGCACCGCTGGTGTTCAGCCGTCCAGTGCAGCGAAATGGGCCGTGATGGGCACGTTGCCGCCATTATCGTTATTATCGACCGACTACTCTGTCCGTCTGTCTGAATCTTGCGATCGCCTTCAGCTGTTTCTATTCGTGTTTATGTAAATGTGTTAGAATTTACTTAGCCCATGTTGTGGAAACTAGAAATAATTGTGAACAGGGCTATCCGTTTTCTGGCTACTCATTTTATTTAGGTCTTCCAAAGTGCATTGGTGTTAGATGTATTTTGTTAAAGTAATATTACAAAAATATCCTACTTTCAGATTTTTTCCCGAGTACTATTTATAAATTTAAAAGGTGTTTATAAATTTCACATGTATGCCTAAGAGTGAGAGTCAAGCTTCTGTAAGAAATTTACCAGCTCAACGAGAGCGATAGCATGCAAACTAAAAAAAAAAACGGCGTGAAGTTTATAGAATGCCCAATCCTTCCCTCTGTCATTCACAATCCCTAAACGATTGGTGCATGAGAATTGGTCCGCGAATCCCTAACCCTGGCAAAAGATCTGATATCCGTGGGCGGCGCCGCTTGATACTATAAAGAGATCTGGTTGCCGACACATGTTATCAACAATACTTAAGTATACATGTACCTAAGTAAGTACTCGTATCATATATTTGTGTTCTATAACAATTTACCGGTTTCAAACTAAGTATTATTTTAAAATAACAGTCTTTCAAAAATACAATTCAAAAAGGACACATTATTAATAAGAAAAAAAAACAATACTTTATTTCTAATATTTGTAGAGCTAAAGAATAGCTTATACCTAGTACCGCACAAAACATTCACTTTCGTGTATTACACCATGGCATGCAAAATATAGGATAGCGAGCCACACACATAGAAGGTCTGTAATAACACAATGTTTATCAAAGTTCGCATTCGCACGTAGTTATCACAAGTAACAAGTAGAGTGCAGTTAGGTAACCCCGCGGCGGTTAGTCTGTCCGTCTGTCGATCACAGCCGGCTAACGACGTCTCCTCTCCGCGCCGTGCCACGGCTGCCACTCACCCACACGATAATCATGCTACTTTGCACCAACTACACTGTCAATCAACGCTCTAACTGTGCCATGCGTCTAAACACACTATCCTATTCAAATAATAAAATCCAGCTATCATTTCCCCAATAAAAACAACGTCTTGATTTTTACAATTCGCACAGGTGCCAGTCCGCATCAATCGCCGTGATATCGCCAATAACAAAGCAATTGTTGGGAACACCGTGACGGAGTAATTCGTCGTTTCCCTTGCTGGACGCGACGATTAGCCCGCCTCTATTTACTTGTCTATCCGATCGCTAGAGTTGGCAGCTGACGCCGGACGCGGCTGATAGACACACACCGTTACAACATTGACTTAGAAAAACGTTTGCCACGGACAACCGTTGTGCTGCGCCGGACGAGCGACACAAACATCTGGACCGCTCCCCGATTGATAGGTGCGGGACCTCGGTAATAGTCCGCGAAGTGTCTCACCTGATGTTTTCTTGTCTTTCTATTCCCAATCGATCGAATTAGATTAAACTAGTCACGTTCCACATCTTTAACTGTAAACGTCGCACTCGCTTGTGCTTTAGATGAATTTTACACTTAAATGTTCCCACAGGCGCAATATGAACCGATCGCGATCGTGCATAGGCCACGACCGGGCACAGGGCTCGCACGTGGGCACCTACAATGTCTATCGTGCTTAATCACTGATAAATCTGCCACACCACGGGAACAATGCCACTACGGCGCCCGACAAATGAGCGCAATTAATGCCAATAATTTCAAACGTTCCGCCAAGCATAAAACTCAGCCCAAACAGTGCATTCATATCTCGCATGAGTACCCGGGTAATACTATTCCTTTTAATCGACGGCAGAATCTAAAATAAGCTTCCTTTCTGTGCTGTTTCGCACAAGAATAGCACGAACATCTTTCAGCTAACAATGGCCATTCGAACACTTCTCTGACAGGACATTAAATCCTCGAGAGCTTTCTTCGAACTAGTGTTTCCCTTGAAAACTAATCAGCGCCAGCCATTATGGGATCAGTCTCCGTCTTTACGTACGTCAATATATCTCGTGTGCTCCCCGGGCGAGGAGAGCACTCGTCCCCGACGAATTAGCTCCGACAACGCCACAATAGTCCATAATTATGAAATGTGTAGTGATTCCAAAAGGATGTGCAATTTTTCTCAGGCCGCGAACAATGCGAGACGGTAATGAAAGGAGTCAATCAGTCGATGTCTGCGAAATACGCCCGTGCTAATTTATGCACCGGCCGGCGCGGGCAGACGGCCGCGAAGCCATTCTCTGCTGCTTTAATGTCTCTCACGCAGACACAAAGGACGAGCAGTCCACGTCAGCGCACGCTCAAATTGTAGTCGCTGCACGTGGGCCGCGCTCGTGTAATGTCAATGCGTCGTACGTACAAACTATGAAAAATTGGAGTCGTAGATATCGCGCTCGTACGAGTGTCTTCCTCGCACGATACGTGAGACCTATACTTATATCCTAGCCTCATATGAATTTATAGTGAACGCCATATTATTTACTAGCATTATACGCACAATTTGCGAAGCTGTCGCAAGGGCCAGCTATAATTTCCCGATGGCAGCAGATCCATCAATACTCGCCTCGGGCTGCGGCCGCTTTCAATTTGTAGGCCGCTTACATCGCCGGCAATTACCGGACGGACGGAAGGCCGATCATCATCGATATACGCGCTTAATAATGCCTAATGACACTTAATAAAGACGGAAAATAAAAGTGTGACGATTATTTATTAGCCGTCTCGTAAATACTAGATAACGGTTCGTGGCTGTGGTTAAGAAATATTGCGTCCTTCATAGATGATAGAACGATGGTAAACTGTACGGTTAGTTTATTTAACTGACAGTTATCGTTTAATACTTACCAATTACAGTTTTCTTTGAGATAAAATTTATAGTCTTGTTTTTTATTGCGAAGAATAATGGTAGTTACAGAAATGTTCTGAATGTCATAGTGACGATAGTCGACATTAGATGGCAGAAAGAAGCGAGCCATCCCTGTGATCTCAGCCTTGATAGGATGTTGATTTTAATAGATTTGTCTATAAGAGGTAATAAGGATAGTACCTATTTTTGAAAACAGACTGTTTAGTTAATGTCGATTTTTTTTGTGCCTTTGTTTGTTAAGGCATACATTTTCACATACACATGACACCTAGACCCGAAAAACCTATTTATCGATCAGAAAAGTGTTGTTTCGTGCGGGATCGAACCCACGATACGTTGCGCTGCAGCCACTTGCCCAGGCACCGCGCCAACCAGTCAAAGAGACTGATTTACCGTCTAGATGAAGTACCACGACTTAACAGTACCGAAAAACGGAGAAAAGATCAAAAAAATAGGTTAAGTACTTAAGTAAGTGGTGTTCTGTTTTTTCTTTCGATTTGTCATCGGATAAACATATTAGTTTGTGTATATCTATTACTTTTTATACATCTTAGTGATGTATTGGGACAAAATTATATTATAATGACTTCTCCCGCGAAATTTTTCCCGTATTTTCCTTTGCAAAGTGGCAGCGTAATCATACTAGTGACTAATCTTATATATAAAAATGAATTCGTTAGTCTCGCTAAAACTCCGTCCGTTTCAGATAATTTTGGTCTCAAATATTCGTTTAAGTCCAGGGAAGGTTTAAAAGGTCAGCACATATAGGTACTTAGTTATATTTGTGGCGGGACGGAGTTCGCCTGTTCAGCAAGTCTACCAATAGTCTTGTTATTTTAATTTGGTTAATGGTTTATAACGCCATCTATCGGCGATAAAGTAAATAATGATACATGACTAATTTAAAATATGTATTTTCTAGGTTCATGGTTAAAAATCATTGGTAAATCCTTCCTCATTAAATAATTATGTAGGGTAGACCAATTTAAGATTGAACCTCATAATTGCTATGCGTTTTTTTTTCGACAGGGAAAGGAAGTAAGTATCCTGAACACTCTGAAATTGACAGCCCAATATAATTGTTAAGCCCGGGAACCTAACCCGAAAACTATCGCGATTAAAGGTAACCACTTGATCAAAAATACGATTAGTAAGTAAGGTTTTGATATTTATTCTTTTGTTTCATTACTACTTACTTCATTACAGACTTCCTTCTTCTTTGAGTTCTTATATTGTAATATCATCCTTATTGTCTAAGACAAAAAACTTAAAATGACAAAATAAAACAACAATAAAGTTTTCATTTCGGTTTATTAACACTTAGGGCTGAACCCTGATATGTGTCGCTACATCGGCGTGTCACTCGCATTTCGTACAAAACTGCATTACTTCACAATTTTATATAGTAAATACATAAATATTATGATAAAATATTACAATATAGGTACATATGTACATTATGTATTAATTTCCAGTGTCTATAGAAACCAGAGCAAACATTAAGGCGTATTTATTCGCCGACTACAAGGTAAACCAATTAAGTAGTTTCCTATGTCAAAAATAAATTAATTCGACGTTTCAGTACAATAAAATATTGAATAATAACTAGGTACTTATACTTCGGTCTTCGATCTGTCTATACACAAAATTTTCGATATATTATATTTAAGAAATAAGTAGATAAGCTATTTGACGCAAAAATACTATGACGTCATTATTTGGAGTTTCTTACAAATTTCGTAGTACCTAGGTAAAGTTTTGACATTTGGATAAAAGTATTGAATTTGACTAGTTGGAAACTACCGTATTGGTGGAGCTGGAGCCACTGTTGACAGTTAGAGTACTGATTTGACTTTCATTTACGTTTAGGCAGACATATTTATGACGTTCCGCGCTCTGATTGGCCCGCTCCAAGTTGACGAACCAATCAGAAAGCTAAAGTTACATCTCGTTGCTGTGCAAAATAGTTCACAGAAAGCACTCTAATGCAACTTAGGGTTTGTATTTCACCTGGCTATTATTGACGAAACTTGACTATTAGGTAATGCTTTCATAACTTATAAGAATAATTCAATGTAGCAAAGATAAAAAAAAGCTCATAATAAAAACAATGACCACAAAAATTTTGAACAGGTAAGTTGCAAACAAATGTTGATTACATTCTTTTTTTAAGTTGAAATATATCTTCGATTTAATAAAATGCCATTGTACCCGTGGCTCTACACAAATAAGTTGAAAACCAGTTTAATATGGCCACGCTTTGAACCATATGACAGTACATTCAACGGTCAGTTTATACTGGTTTATTAGCTTAATGTAATTATATAGGTATGCATTTCTTTCTTCTTAATTATTGACAAGGTTTTATAATAAACTAGGTAGGTACATACAGTATATATTTCATCTAAATAAGTAAAATGACGAATACTTATTACGTTACGTACATTTCAAGGAATTAAATGATGTCATGAATCCATATTTTGACCTATGATCAACATCCTTTTCGTAAGCAATTTTTTTTTTTTTACATAAATAAGTCGAACTTGATTGATGGATAAGCAGATTATTTTCGATTTTGATGCGTGTTTCCGTTTGACATTTAAAATTGCTTGTTGTATCTAATGTAATATGAAATGCAGTTTTATTAGGTCAAGACAGTTATAAAATATCAAGTTGGATAATATAAATACCAATGCTAATAGTTGTAATGTAAGGAAAAAAATAAATAGCTTACTTCGTAAGTGTTTTTAAATAATTTACTTAAACATCACAAATTCCATGAACATAGTTTCATAAAATAAAAAACCTTTCAAGATGATAGTACTTCAATTAACTTTGACTCCTATTTCGTTTAACTTAGGACACAAAACAATATTGTGACTACATTAGGTACTACAAATTTTTATTTGCTTATATTGATGCCCGTATTTCTGAGCAACAAAATGTAAATTTATTTGTCTCAATCGCAAATAGGAACTTGTCATATTTTCAAATATGGAATCTTTATTTTAAAACAAAACAAAAACTTTTTTATATTATTTTATTTAAAGGCATTAATGAAGTTAATCCAAAAAGTTTTTATTCAATTATTGATTGATTTTTGTATTGAGGTTAAAACACTAGTTATTTGTGGTTACAAATAAGGTCTATGAATATGTAACTAAAATTCCATTATCATTATTGGAAGGCCCCTCTCCCTCGACGTTTGCAATAATACTCTGATACAGTAGGGGAATCATGTGATGTAACATTCATCATCTCATATTTATGATGGGGAACTAAAATCGCACAAATTTATTTTAGGGTTACAATTTTATGCTATCTCCGAACATTTATCTGCTGATGTAGACAATGCAATAAAGAATGAACTTTATATTATTTTTGTTAAGGTTTATTTTGCTTTTAAATGAGAATCGTCATTTATTTTTAATTTTGCAGATTTATTCAGTACAAAGAAGAATAAACTTTATGGGTCTCATGTTAGGGTGAACTTTACTTTATAGTATGATGAGTTCTAGGGTTGTGTGTCTTAGATAGAAATTATTATGACGACAATGCGAGCTTCCACGTAATATTCTCTACAAGACAATACTTCTTCAAAACCTCTTATTTAATATAAACATCTAAGTGTTCCATTATTTACAGTGCTTATCCTACAAAAATAATTTAGTCAACCACTATACAGTACATACATTTTTATATATCTTACAGCTAAAAGTAGAATATAAATAGTCTTAAGCCATATAATGTACAATACATAGGTAATAGGTACATACAATAAACATCACTTGGGTTTGGAATAAGTCTCCTTTGAGACGTAAATTATATAAACTAATTATTCATTTTAGTTTCTTTCTGTAAAGACTTAGAGTTCAAATTAATTCGTATGGTTGTGTGCTCTCGACAGAATGTTAGGGTTGTCAAGTCTTGTGTCGTCTCTTTCTCATTAAAGTGTTTGGTAGATTATAGGTACCTACTCAGGAAATTTAAGGGGATAATAGCTGTCGATCTAAAATACAACTTTACTTTAACTATAACTGTAAAGTTGAAATACGATTGCAACTGAGTCCAGTATTGTGAACTTGATCATGAAAAAATTAGCTGTTAGTCATTTATTTATACTTAATGAAAAGTTTCGCGACAAAGCAGTAAGGTGGATTAATAAAAATGACACCACTAATTATTTTTTACAATTAGTAATGTCTTAAATAAGTAATTTGTGGTGTAATTAGAAATAAATTACGACAATGTTAGTACTTAATGAGACTGAGACTTCACAAACCATAGACAAATTTCATATCTAATTCAAATGAATGCTAAGCTAAGTAAGTAATATTATATTGCTACAAATATAATTATACTTTCTGGAATGTAATGCAATCATTTCCGTCACTTTAACGCATTTCTTTGGTCTACTATATCAATAATCACGATGTAATTTTAAAAGATAATATATTGCTAAAACACTGATACGATAGAACCATAAAACAATAAGAATCATACAAATATGTGCAGGTAACTATTGTTAATTAATATTCTTTTCATTCTACATTAATATTACTTCTCGATATTATACTTTCGGGTAGGAACCTTGAAATTATGTATTAAAAGTACGCGTAATACCTATCGACAACCTCTTAAACTACTCAGTTACATACATTCGTCTATAAAGGTACTAAATTGAAAATCACTTCGAATAACACACAAAGTCTCTTTACTAGCCGGCTTCATAATTTAGCAGAGTTCCCGCGAGCCACTACTACGTGTACTCGATGATGCATCGGCCGTCACAGCACGTTTCATTGCGAACCTACTTGTCACTATACTTCAGTACTGCTATGAATCCAGTTCATTAGCAGTGTGTAAGTGACAATTAGTAGGGGTATAAGAGCATGGTCCAAGATTGTGTTGGTACGTTCACAGTGGATGTCTGGGTGATGGCGAGTGCTGCGGACGAGGCTGAGGGGGAGCGTTTGGGTGCGCTGGGGGCGGGTAGGGGCAGTAGCGCAGTGGCGTGGGTGGCTTCTGCAGCCACAGGTCGTGAGGTAGTGCTAGAGGCTGCGGCCAGGTGGCAGGCCAAGCGCGGCCTCCCAGCGCCAGAAGCTGCAGCGCTGCAGGTGAACGCGCCCAAGCAGCTCGTTTCTCTGCCTCCTCCTCCGCGCCGCCTGCGTACAGCCGCAACGGAGAGCGCAACAACTGCTGCTCCATTAACATCAGCTCCATCGGGTCTCTGTGGAGAATGAACGATGCAATCGTTAGTGCTATCATACATCTGGTAGGGTACTTTTATTCTTGTAATGTAATGTCGACATATAGAAAAAATAATCATGTTATACAACTCTAAGGGCTTACATATACTCGATAATGCAATTCTACGTAGGATATTCTGAAGCGTATTGCAGAAACTATTATTGAAATAATATTCATGCTAAGTAGGAGTAAGTTTTCTGATAGAAATAAATCCTATTTCGGTAAAACGTGCACGGTCGCATCGAGTTCCGCGAACCTCTCGTTTCGCGGGACGGACTGCTCGTTGAGTTCCATCGGTCCGTAGTCTATAAAACTGAGTTCGAGGAACGACAGCGGCCACCGGCGGCCACGTGGCGATTTCAAATCTCATAAAACGTTACGAACGTCACACTAGAAGCTGTTATGTAAAATCCAGCCTCGATGAAATACGACGTGGTCAGCTTTGTTTACGACTCTTGCGTTAAGCTTTGATTTACAATGCCACTATAACTCCAACATTTGCAATAAGCAGAATCTTTAAATAAAACACCTACCTCCACATTTCGTGTGGTGGGCATTTTTTAATACGCACTGCCATTTGGAAAAGTGTTAAACAGGGAGTGTATCGCTGTCGATTGTTTCTGCGAAGCGTCTTTACGAGTAGTGTCGCAGTTAACGAGGCGCGCGGCGAGCTCGTGCGTGAGTGCGGCCCTTTACTGCGCAGCGCGTGGTGCCCTTTATCGGTTCCTGGAGGTTGTCGCGACCGCCACCGATCACGCTTCCCGCTAACTTGCTATTTTCGCGTCTCTACGAAACTATCGACACTTATAAGTGTGCAATAATGCGTCTTTCACGCCTGCTCAATAGAAATCTAGTTAGTGGCAGGTTCCTTCCCGTTTGCTTCGGTTACACGTTCGCTGTAGAGCAAGCGTAAATCTGAGGAGATGTTATTAATAATGGGCTCCGTCCTGAGATACGAGCGTTAGTCCGAGAGCGGCAAATGAGCGTGACGACACGCCGAGCTCGAGCTAAGCCTCAAAATTGGCATGACATCACGAGATGCCGTGTCGAATTTAATCTATCACCGGAGCGCGGCCCCGGGCGCCGGCGCGCTCTCCTCGAGAATTAAAAACAGGTAGTGCCCACACACGCTAACACATCTTATAGATTTTTTATTGATCTCCTAATTTCTATAAAAACGAATAATAGCTGGTATTATTGTCAGAACAACCTCGAATTAACCACAACGTCTCAGCGATTTCACACAATTCTATCACGCGATACTGTACCTATATTATTTCTGTAGATATCAATTTCTTTCTTTGGCAGAAGGTGCAGGGATGTGGTAAATTACTACTAAGTTATGGCATAATTTGATAAATTAAAATGCTTTTGTTAATGGCGTAATCTACATTATCATCAGGCCTGATAGCGATGAAAAATGTAAGACACAACGTTGTCTAGGTAAATGCATTATGCAATACAATAGAGACAGTTTGTAAATGATTGTAGGGAATTTGGCCAATTCCAGAAAGCAACGAAAATGAAAAATACAATTTAAAGTTAGATACCTCTTTCAGTATTAAAACATTTTAACTCGGAACATAATTGAAGGCAATCAAAACTGAACATTAAATTGTAAGCTAACACATTCCATAACACTAATATCTTAAAATTTACACTCGCAGCCTTAAATTACAAGAGGTCTTAAGCGGCGCGGTATTAATGCTCAGAGAAAAGGTCTGTTTCACCGGGTGGTTATGTCGTTTCGGGTGCTGCGGGGGCGTTAATGGCGTATTTATTATGATCTCGGTATCAGCAGTAATAGCCAACACTCTCCGCCGGCAAATTACAGGGCGGCAGCTCTCAGAGGCCGCCGATAGGCCCGGCCAGCGTGCTCGCGCAGCCTCTTATCGATATCTCGCGCCGACCGCTATCGATATATATTTGCCTGCAAATGCATAATGTGTCTATCTGATACGAAGTGAAATATTATTTCCTTTGCTCGTAATTTTTGCTTAATGCAGATTATGAGCACACAAATTTATAGCATATTACCTACCTAGTCATTTTAAAATCCACCTTTTCTTTCATTTCTGTAATTTTTCAAAATAGAAAATTATACAATAGCCATTAACGATAAATGTGATCTATTTGAGGATAGTCCTGCCATAAATCAGTCACGCAGCTGACTGACTCATTAGGCAGATATAAATAGGAATAATTGCTGAGCGAACAGTTCATTGTCTGTTCGTGTAAGTAAATGTGATAGATGGTTGATATTTAAAAAATAGTTAGCGTAACGTAACTGTGAAACACGCAGCGTGCCGCGGGCAGCACGCGGTTGTCGTTAAATTTATTTCTAGCTCGTAAGTGAATCGCATGCAATTAACGAAGAGGTGCGTCCGAACATAAATATAACTCCTCGCCGCTAAATATCGGCTCTGATTGAGCGAGGGGCGGATCTTATTAATTAATGGATGAAAAGCCGCCTCGACCACCACGCCAAATAACTCGACCGCCCGATTCTCACACAATGGCAATTCATCATACTTATTGTCTGACGATTTCGGACGTCAGCGAAGGAAGTCATTAAGGCTGAGCGGCGTTACGTGTTGTTTTAAATATTTATATTTAATAGACGGTGTGAATTTGGCAATCAGAATGGAAAGTACTTAATAGTTGACCGGTTGAACAATACAAACGGAAGTGCTTAGACGGCTTTTAAAATTAACCTACATTCGTCAAGTGAAGTGAAGCGGGTGTTGGAGTGACAGACAGCGAAGTGGCAATTCTGTTTGAGATTGTATCGATAGACGTGCGCGTTGAGCTGTGTGGCCGCGGTGCTACGAGAACAAGCGCGCGAGGTGCGCAGGCGCACGGTAGCGGTCGCCCGTCGCCCGGCACCAATCAACGGAGCACGCGATACGCGAACCTCTAATTATTCAGGCTTTCATTCCGTTATATTCGCTCGAGTGAGAACGACAGGAAATGTCACTTGCTGTTAATATTTAACACGTTCAATTTGAGGTCTTTGTACATGAAGCAGTTACAGGTAATATAGAGCACTTAAATTATTGAAGCAGGCAATTACTTTTGTAACTTTACGATATTTTTTCTTATTATATAAATATATCAAAATAGTATAGTATACCGATGCAGCCTTACAAAAATCAATTACAAGTCGCGTTGGCTCACGTAGAGTGTGGGCACGTAAACTCCTGATCAAAGCCGGTAGCGAGCGCAGCGGTCAAAGATCTACAGACTCAATGGAAGCGGTAATTGCATCGATAACATCTCGAATTAGCCGTCAATCACCGGCCCGAACTATCATCGATCCGATGCTGTATCAATTAATACAAATCGGTAGCTACGCACTGACGCCTACGTCGATTACATTATTAATAGTTCCGATAATTCCGCCCGTCATGCTACTGTAACACAAAAAACCTTAAGAGCTAATGCGAGAATTTCGGTAAGTGTTCAAGGGTAAAGTCTCTAAAATTAAAAAAAATTGTTAATAGGTCGCATCCTTCGAAACACGTTTCATCTGAAGCATAATTCAAAACATCTATAACAACTGTCATCAAGTTAATTTTAAATTAAAGCTACGGCACAGCCCTGTCCTTACATTTTAATCTGTTCGAATATTGCTTTCAATATACCAATCTCGAAAGGTGAATCAGTAATTGTTTATGCATAGTCAATTCAGCAGGTTGTTGCTAAAGTATAAACACGTGAGCGAGAACGCGTCCACACGGCCCCCGGAGAACCGGTCGGTCCGGCAGTCCGGCCGTATGGGCATCACACCGATGGCCAGATAATAGAAATGCGCTTTAATTTGTCGTTTAGGGCATAATGAGGAGCGAGCCCTGTGATTACGCGCCGCCGCCGCCGGCTCCGGCCCCGTTGACGTGAGCTGTTTCCACACGCCGCCGCGCCGCAGCCCGCCCTCTGCCCGCAACCACGCAACCTCGAACGTGTTAACACGAAACTAAAGTTTCCTCCCTACTGAACAACTAAAACACTATTTAGCTTCCTTATTCATAAAATTACTATCAGCTTATCTTATTAAAGACTACATTAATTTTGGTGTAGGTAATATTTATGTAAGTAGGTAAACATTAAGTTCATTGTCAGCAAGCTCATAAACAACAGGTGACGAAATAAAACAATATTAAACAAAGACGCTCGATTTCTAATCTGGTTCACAACATTGTAACAGCATTTGAATATCAATCAATGAACGAAGTAATTAGCACGTCTATTCTGCGAATTTATGTTTTCCAAGTTATTATTCATTATATTCGCTCGGTAAGACGGGATGAGATCATATACGTACCTGTTTGCTAACTATGTATGTTTATGAACAATACAAATTTAATTACAGCTATATTAATTACATGCTGCATCAGTTAATTAATTTTAAGATGGTTTTCTTGATCCATGTGCCACATAGAATCGCCCTTACCACCGTCCGTCGTTCGGTGATCGTGAGTTCAAAGTAGTGGTCGGCTCATGGGAACGCCCGTTCGTTCCTTGAGGCACATTCTCGCCTCAGTCACCCAACACCTCGACTTAATGAGCGAAACAGGCTATTCCGTTAAATATTAATTTTTGCCTTTAAATATAGACTTGTATCTCTTCTTGATCTCAGAATTTTATTTTGTTGATTGATCGATTGCTTTGGTATGCAAAGTTTTTAAACGAATTATTCTTAAGTATCCTATTAAGGCTCCCCTAATGATATATCCGATAACGATAGCCTATTACTAGCCGCCAATAAGTAGATGTCGGAATTTCGGAAGAGGATCTTATATGCGATACCTCAAAGCTAAATATAGTCAATATTTTTCAATTTTAAATTACGTTCAAAATACATAGAAATATTTAGTAGTAAAATATGATATCCCATTAAAACAAAGAATAAGTAAGGATGACCGGTACCTACTTCTCTATATTTTTAACGAAACCTTGCTAGATTGGTTTTTCATTACCTATTTCATCGAAATCGTTGACGACGTTTCCGAGATTCTGTAAATATATATAATTACACACATACAGGACTTCTCGTTCATAGATATAATACATATACAAAGGTAACTCTACTTCAGCAGATGAGTGTATTAACATTCAATAATTCCGTGAACAATAGAACATAAAAATTAATACCTGTCGACGTAGAGTATACTTGTGTTCGTTTAACTCAGTGCGGACACGCCCTTCAAGGTTTTCAACGACTAATACCTACTTACAAGCTGAAAAGCCGACTACAACTTAAAGTCACATCAGTATAAATCCCTTGCACACACTTTAAAAATAAAGCAAGGAAATGTGAGATATATTGCTGAAAGGATAATGAAACTCGGAGTTGATGCTTAGAAGATATAGCTTGACTTTTTCAGGTAACAAGTAATGATCGTCCATCTTTATTTTGTTGCTGGCTGAATATGCATTTGGATGTCCAAAGATATTTTGTAGCCATAAAGTGTTAGTGATTTTTTATTCTATTTTGAATGCTTGTGTAGTTGTAAGCCAACGAGGTTTAAAAACGGAGGTACGTCATAAGCATTTGACGTTTTTTTTTCGTAATTTAAATTTGTTATAGCGCCTTTTTCACTTTGTCTAGAATAGCCACTGCATAGCTGATAAGTTTGAATTTAGAATGTAAAATGTGTAAACGTTCACGCTGTCTGCCATTTAAGTTTTTATGAAATTTCTTGTTTGTCAAAACTGTAACATCACCCTAAATATGTGTACCTGGGTCTCGTCCTCGACAGCCGATGGAACTTCACGGAGCATTTTCGTCGTTTGGCCCCTAAGTTAGAACGGTCTGGGGCCGCGCTCAAGCGGCTCCTTCCCAACCTCGGGGGGCCAAACGCCTCCTGCCGGAGGTTGTATATGGGGATTGTGCGATCCATGGCCCTCTACGGTGCCCCTGTGTGGGCGCCGGCCTTGAAGCGGCGGCCGGCTCGTACGCTGGTCGCGTCCCAGAGGGTCATGGCTATTCGAGTAATCCGCGGGTATCGCACGATCTCCGGGGAGGCGGCGAACCTCCTTGCCGGATCACCGCCGTGGGATCTAGAAGCGAAGGCGCTCGCGCGCGTCTACAGTTTGCGCGCAGACGCGCGTCGCCGGGGCGAAGATCCTCTGCCGCGCCAAATTAGTGCGTGGCGGAATGAGCTCCGGCGAGATCTCATGGCAGAGTGGAAACAACGACTGTCGCAACCGAGGGCCGGGCACGCTACCATAGTAGCGGTAAGACCCCTCTTTGAGGAGTGGCTTGAGAGACGCCACGGCGTCCTCACCTTCCGTCTGACGCAGGTGCTTACCGGGCACGGCAGCTTCGGTAGGTTCCTGTTTCGGATTCAGCGGGAGGAAACGCCCGAGTGTCGTCATTGTGAGGACCACCTAGAGGATACGGTGGAGCATACGGTAGCGGTATGCCCTGCCTGGGCTGAGCACCGCCGTATCCTCAGGGAAGTGATCGGCGGCGGCGACCTCTCGCGCCCGGCCTTAGTCGAGGCCATGGTGCGGAGTGAGAGGAACTGGGACGCCGTCTCCTCCTTTTGTGAAGCAGTCATGCTCGCAAAGAGAGAGGCGGCCCGCGTGAGGGAGCAATCCTCCTCCTCACGCCCCAGCAGCCGCAACTGGCGACACTACGGGCGTCGGGGATCGAGGGACGATCTCCGGCCACCGTAAGTACGGGCCTGCGGTCGGCGAGTAAGGGCAGCTCGCCGCCCGACCAGAACCAGGCCCGAGCGTACGGCGCGTAGCGTTCCGCGCGCGCCTCAAAGAGCCAATAGACCACCACAGACGGGGCCCTAAAGGGCTGATGTTCAGCCGGGGTTGCGGGGTAAGCGCAATGAGGTACCGCGACCTCGGCACAGAGCAGGAGAAGGAACAGGGGGGTTTTTAGTCAGTAAGAGTCTGACACTCCCTCCTGCCCGGCCCTGGGCGGGAGAAGTCATTTGATGATTTTCCCCTCACAAAAAAAAAAAAACCCTAAATATGTACATACATATTATATACTACACTAGTTTACCCTAATTATCTGTTCAAAAAGAGACCTAATTATTTCGCAACTTTGGTGACCAGGCAGTCACCAAACTTGGTTTTAAAATTCAAAAAGAAAAAGGTAATCTGTTCATTTCTGTACCGCGTTCAAAGAAGTAATGTGCCAATCATTTTCGCAGACACCAAAGAAATGTGACATGAAAAGCTAATATTATGTCTGCATAATATGAAGTTTTCACACATCCGTTTGTGATAAAAGATTCAGAATTTATTTTCGAGGTTATTCACTAGCGATATTAAGCGAAGTTTATTGCACCTGTTCTTTGCAAACCATACTATTGTGAAAATAGTTAACGTGATTACTTTCCCACGTCTGTGCAGTAAAATAGTCGATTGTTCTTCGAAAGGTGTCGAGATATCGACAATGGAAGATATTGACGTTAATATTACATGACTGAGGTAAAAGTGAATACAATAGCGGTGATTGAGATTGTTTTTTTTTTCAAACTAAACTGTGGTAGTCAATGTTTTAAAAATCAAATTGTGTTAAACATCATCAATATGTGGCATATACCTAGTTCATATAAATTACATTCTATATTTAAATTTTTCCGATACATAGTGACTAACGTAGTTCAAGCTTCGACAATACTCTAGAGAGATTGACAATGCAACTATCTAAGGATTGTAATTGGCAAAGGCAGAAATTACAGTGCAAAAACTTCAATTGAATATGTACCAAATAGGTGAGGTATTAAAATCTAGATTTGTACGTATCTAATGATAAAAGAACGGCCAGTAATATCGCATGGTCTTATAAGACGGCTTAGGTACTTTATGGTCTTAGTTTATAACGTTGTAAAGTTTTATATGTTAGACAATTAAAGTGATTAGTAAGTGGAGTCCATGAAATCATTTTTAGCGAGTCAGTTTTCTTGATTTTATAGTTATATTTAATGTTGGAAGTTAAATTGTATTTCATATTGTTGTTATAGTTGGAGTTATGTCCTCAGTTGTAGTTCATATTTCTTTTTGCATTTCTAGACAAACGTATTTTCGTGAGGGTTATATCATCAAGTGACTTCTCTGACAAGTCATGTCCTTATCCTGCTCTGAGCCGAAGTCGCGGTGCCTCGTTGCGCTTACCCCGCAACCCCAGCTGAACATCAGCCCTATAGGGCCCCGTCTGTGGTGGTCTATTGGCTCTTTGAGCCGCGCGCGGAACGCTACGCGCCGTATGCTCGGGTCTGGTTCTGGTCGGGTGGCAAGTTGCCCTTACTCGCCGTCCGCAGACCCGCAAGACAAACGTAGTATAAGACGCGATTCACCGAGGTGGACAACGAGCAGTGGCTGGATGAGAAGAACTTGAACATCTAGCTCAGTGGCGTGCAATCAAAGAGGCATGTCTAACAGTGAACGGAATCAGGCTGACAATGATTATGATGATATATTTCCTTATATCATACGAATTATTCCCATCTCTAACCGACTCTTTAAAGACACTATTTGCTTAGCACACAACAAATCACATACATGATAGATAAACTAAAAGCTTCATTAGCATCTAGGTACCTACATTTATTACCTATCACATTCGATACAAGTCCTCAATACGCCCTCAAGATTATTTTTACGCCCATAATCTCCACAAAGTCGATTAACCGATAAGGCGAATAAGAACAGCCCTAAATGTGCCGCTCAACATCAGCCGCATTGATCCGATATCTGCCATAATCTGCGGACGTTCGTTTTTAATCTTTTATTCATGAAAAAACGCCGCCAAATTGCAGGGCTGCCAACCTAATGCCTTTCAACTGTTGCTAATAACCTGTCAATTTATCAAACCACCACCATACGTCGCTTTAGACCACTTTAAGGCAAATAAACTAAACGTTTTTGACGCTCGTCACCGATTCCAACATTCAAATTCGTATTGATGGCCTGTTAAAATTTAATGACACGATTTATGTTTTCGTGTTAGGCTATTACTCGAAAAGTGATGGATTTAGTTCCATGTTGTACCTAACTACGAAAAACCGGAAATCTTTCACATTTTTAGTCAGAATTTCGCGCTTATTATTACGTACGCCGGATTAGTTTCTTAACCTTTTTCAATGGTACTTACTTCAGGGTGTACAAAGTTTCGATAATTAACTGAAGGATTATAAAAGTAAAAGGCTAATTGATAAGAACCTTGACAATTACCCGACGCAACCGAATCGTTCCAACAATGTAAATACAGATCTTATATGAACTTTTGTATGGCAATCTTTGGACAAATTACATAAAATATAACAGAAATTAAGTCTTAATTTTATGTGTGTTGATTAAAGAAATCACCGTATTAGAAAAAAATATTAAAATATAAGCATTTCATTATCATCATTCCCTTTCTGTCCACTGGATATAGGCTGCTGCAATGGCACGCCACTGAACTCTTGACTTTCACCTCTCAATCTTCAGCACTACCTACGCGGAAACCATTGCCAGCCCTACCTAGCAGACTAGCTACCTAGAAGAAGAGCTTATTTGTAACTAAATAAAAAAAAAACTTACCTATCAAAATCCGTCAGCCGCGATGAGTCTCTGAATCCTTTGGCAAAAGGATTAGAGTCTATTTTGAGCTTTGTGATGAGTTGGTTCTGGTAGGCGGTTACAGCAGTGAACACTGTCTCCGGGAAGACGAAGGTGCGATGTTGTTCCCTCGAAAGGTCCGTGATAGGACCACCTCCTTCACGAACTTTGACGAGATGGATCCGGGGTTGATATCGATGCATCGAGTTCAGGACGATCTGTGGGAAGGGATTTATGTGTTAGGTATTACTTGGCATTTATAGACTGACGCAACTTTATGCGTGGTTCTTAAGTACTTTATTCGGGTCTGACTGTGACCTAAGTATATGTGAAAATACGTGTTTGTAAACACACACGTACACGTGACAAAGAAGAAAATCCGAGAGCTGGTCCACGCATCGTAGCTATTTTCGAGTAAGTATAAATTCATATTAGCATCCTTAAGCAAAACTTTTTTTAATAAAATAAAATACATATTTGAACTTTTTGTTTGTTTATAGTTTGAAAATAATAAATTCAAATAAACCTCTGCCTTAAAAAAAGAATGGATACTAAATTTAAATTAATTACTCCCTTCCCATTCGTTGAAAACAGCTAAGTATAGTCGCATACAAAATACAAGGTGCAGGGTGTAAGAAATGCAGATGCATATTATACCTTCGTGTACCTACTATGCAGAATGTACTCAAACAAACAATTAATTTTATTATATTAATTAATAGCGACGTGGTAGTAGAAAAATTGTATGTCTGCCAACAGACAGTAACAATTATTTCAAACTGTAAATTGATCATAATAATTCTTACATACCTAGGATTTTACTACACAAATTTATTCATATTTTTATTAAAATAATGTTTCTGTTAATAATTATTAAGTATTCTTAACGTATAAAATGTACATGTATTGAATAAATATTTATATATTTTTTTAATTAACTACCTCCTTGCCTTAGGCAAATAAATAAATATCTATGATATAAAAAGCATTAGGTATTAAAAAGTTTATTCAAGTATTTATTATATTTTTTTACTTAAGATATTATTTGTTTGTTTGTATTTTTTATTTAACTAAGGGATAATTTTTCAATGGTTAGATAAAAGTTACCTAGTAAGGAAAAAATATGGCACTGTCGCGGCAGAATGTTTGTATAAGACAGTGACAGCATCTGTATTTTCTATTCCGTGGACAGCATTAATTTTATTAACTCAGATAACATTCCTATCTGACTATTAAAAAATCAACCCTTAGTTTTATGAACAGCGGCTCTATTTATAATAATGTTTATTATCTATTTATTTATATCATTATAGGAAATTATTTTTAATTTTTGTCTTTTAAATGTTCAAGTAACAAATATATAGGTAGGTAATTATGAAAATAAGTTTAATAAATTCATGTAGAAAAACCTGCTATAAAGCAAAATTGTATGAATTTTAATCAAAATTACACATTGTTAAATGGGGTTTTCCGCCAAAACAAGGACACGAGTAATAAAAACCGAATAACATACATATGTATGTGTTTCACAGCGCAAAACTAAAAAACAAATTTTCTCCACATCTTTGGCTCAATATTTAAAAGTGCACAAACGATCAACAATCTGTCAGAGTTTGATGATAAAAAGCAATCATCAAACTCCAAACTAGGTAAAGATATTACCGAAAGATTTTTAAGGAATCGTCAACAAACTAGGATAAATACAAATCATAGACAACGGTAAATTGACCTTTTTGGAGTTATAAATATTAGTTTTTAGTAGGTAAATATGTACTTACATATAAACTCAATCGTATCATTATAACAGAACTTAGGTATCTATAAGACAAAAGAACTATAAACTTTAGCTTTTTCTAAATACGTATCCTTTTACAACACTTGAGAACAATCAATTTCTGGATTGAATGCGTAATCATATCAAAATTTTGAGCCAGGCACATGGTTCTCTCATAGGATTTTCTTAATATTCCAAATTTAACAAGAATACAGGCGTTCCAATTTTGAAATTTACGCATAAAATAGGTACACAAAGTTTGATGATGAATGTCACAACTTTGAAAACTTTTGAGGAATTATTTAAATCCTAAAGATGATTCATTAGAAGCCAGGTGTTCAGAATGATACCGGTAAGAGAAGTATGTAACAGACGTATGTAAACCGTTACAGATTAATCACTACCTACATACCTACCTAATATAAAACAAGTCCCTATATCCCTATGAACGCTTAAATCTTTAAAACTACGCAATTGATTTTGATGCGGTTTATATTAATAGAGTAGAGTAAAGTGACTGAAGAGAAAGGTTTATCATATGACATAGTGTAGGTAGCTATAGGTACACTAGTGGAAAAATTTAGTAGGTATAGGTAAGAAAAGGTCCCGTGCGAAGCCGTGGCGGGTCGTTATTAACAAATAAATTAGCTTATTATAGGTACATAAAAGAGATTGTCCGTACGTTTACTCATACCTACCGCACTTAATAGTCGCACAGATAAGTACAAGGTTTAATAAATTTATAAAAACCTGTCGTTATTAATTTACTGCATACAAGCTGATAAAATTCAATGAGACCTAGTAACCATTAACCAGTCGACAAGCATGTAATTGAAATAACTAGCTTTTTGAATTAATTTCGTTCTAGATAAGATTAAATTAATACTTTTATAGCCATTTTATAATAACTGCTTAGTGGTCGTAAAGGTATTCGAAGGAATCTCAAACCGTTTTCGTTGGAATAAATAACTAACTGACCTGGCAGACTTCGTTGCGCCTCAAAATTACCTTAGGTAAGTTTTCTGACCTCTTAAACCTTCCCTGGTCTTCCAAGAATAATTCAAGACCAAAATTAACCAAATCGGTAAAGAATCGTTCCGCATTGTTGAATTACAACATAACAACGAAAATTGGCACTGATTTTTATATAATGATATAGGGTAAGTCAGGGAGAGACGCCTATACGGTATAGATGCCTACTGAATTTAAAAAATAAAATTAGAAAATTACGTGAATCGGTCCGCATCCTTATTATGTCAATTTGACAGCTAATGTCAGTGTGAAAGTTTTGATACGGACAATAATTATTTTAAAATGGTATTTTGTTGTGAATTCCAAAAATAAGGTACCTAAGTGTAGTTGATTAAATCGGTATAATATATTCTTTGAGTTAGTTTGCAGTATTTTTTTCCCCTAATTCTTCTCGTAAATAGTATTTTTTTGTTTTATAACCTAATAATGTGATCGTGTTTTGTTGTTAATCCACCTTTTTGTATGGAAAGTGCTTTCGGGTACGTTCAGAGTCGATAGGCATCTCTCCCTAATGATTGGGAGAGATGCCCAATGAAGTTCCAGGGTTAGATGCCCAGTAAATATTAATGATATTTTATCTTTTCAGATGCTAAATGAATACAAAAGAAAACCTTCTGGCTCTAATAGAGCTACGTGAAGTGAAAAAGACTTAGAAAAGGCCATTCCTCTAGTAAAAGATAAATCTTTAAAATACGAAATTCTTGTAGATATTTGTGTAGTGTGTGGGGACTATTATCACGCCACTAAAAAGAAATGCGACTGGTTACAGTATGTTCAATGCGAAATGTAGTTTCATGAAGATTGCAGTGAAGATTCAGCGGAATGCCTAACGTGTAATGTCTGATTATGTATTAATTATTTGTGGGCATCTATCCCTGGTATCTATAGGCAACTCACCCACATGCCTGGGAGAGATGCCTATTTTACATTATTTTTAAAAAATATTCTTGAATCAAAATATGTTACACAATAGTTCCAAATTTAATCTGAATGGCATAAATAAACAGTGATTCAAATAAACTATGTATATTTCATTTAGTACCTTACATATATAATTAATAATGATTTTTTTTTAAACTATAGGCAACTCTCCCTGACTTACCCTAGATATTTTAGTAATATCTAACATAAGACATTGTCTCTGTTTTGTTCCTCAGAAGAATTGACAAAGAGGAAGAATTGACAATCAATTGCAGCAGGGCTGTTTTTTTCAGTGGGTAAGAGTCTTATACTCCCTTTCGTTTCAACCACAATGAGAGGTCGCATTTGAATGTCTTCCGAACTTCAAGGAGGGTTTAAGAATTCAGAAGGAAGAAAGATTTATATATTGATTTATTTATTTAGATTACAATTCTTATAATTTGTAGATTTTAGCATACCTAAGTACCTGTATCAACTCAGAAAATAATAAGTGATAATTTTAATAATAAGTTATGTAGGTACTTTTTTTATTTAAAATATAAACATACATTTTATTTTAAATATTTGTTAAAATTAAAACATTTAAAAATATAAAAAGTAGGGTCCCACCGGTATCGGGAACACAGTCCTAGCTACCGGCGATCAGGGCTCCAGAGGAAGGAACTTCCTGACAATACGAGCCCTGTCCTGGAGTACCACTTTCTGAATCAAGCCCATGATCCAGCCACGGCCGAGAGCGTCCTAAGGTTTTTGGTTAAGTTATGTAGGCACTTACTTAAGTAATAAAAACAATACATTAATTATACTAAAATCTAATAAATGATATATTAATAATAAGTAAACATATCTAACCTTATCTGTTCATTTAACAACGAGTGATTTCTAATTGCATACATCTACCAAGTAATTAATTGGGCGATGTCTAAGTCCGATGTGACGTCATGATAAGCCGGTCGACACGACGTACACCCATGGTTTTACTGCTCTGATGAGATAATTAAGCTCCAAATTAATTAATTTCACTGCCTAGTTATTTTTATTGCGGTATCGTGTTAATTGTAGGCATAGGTACGCAAAGGCGCCGAATCATTTTCGTCATTAAATTACGAATATGAGTATTAATTATTTCTTTATTATTAAGTAAGTAAGTATTTATAATTCTCCTTTTCTCCAAAACCACACACATAATAGTTCTCAAAATGGCGTGTAGAGGATCGTTTAGTAACAGGTCGCAACCTGTGCCGGCGCCAGTCGTGTCCGTTGGGCCGTGAGGTGCGGACACATGGTTGTTTAGTTTTTGGTGTCACGAGTTTTACTCAGGTGGATTTTGTTTCTCGTAAAAGTAAGTATTTTTTACGTAAATTTGTTTGAATTTAGCATTAATTTATTGCAATTTTACTAAATAACTTAGAAAATGATTTGAAATCTTATAATTCTAGTTATTTTTTTAGTTATTGATTTCTTACGTTGAAGGTTATGAAGTGGACAAAA